TTAAATTTCTCATTCTTCTTTGAACTCCACCTCCACTGTGCCTCTCACGTGCAAGGCTATATATATATCGTCAAATAGAATATATATAAACTCCGACGAAACAGTTTGTCACAGCCCCTCGTTTGTTGTCCTCTTCTCCCTCTCTGCCTACGGTTTACCGGGCAGTTCTATTTGACGATATATATATATTTTATCTTTTTTTTGTTTTGTACCACGAAATCTATAAGTACAGTAAGTCACCGACATGAATGTTGGTGGTTTCTGATTATAAGCCCACCAGTGCGCCCGGGCCTGGCGTCCTTCCACTGCGCGCCAAGCATTTTCTGAATCGCCAGCGGCGCACTTCCAGTCATTTCTTTTTCGCCGGCGGCCTTCCACTGCGCGCCAAGCATCGTGGGCGTCCTTCCACTGCGCGCCAAGCATTGTGGTCCGGTGGCCCCGAGCCTCCGAAATTTTCGTGGGCGATGAACGATTTCTGCACAAGGCTGGGGCCGTGCACAACCGTCTTCACCGAATAGAACGCGCGGTCCTTATTGCTGAATCTGGACTGAAAGCTGCACCAAATACAGCGATGATGACAGGGCGTTCTATTCTGGTGGAGACGGTTGCAGTCAGGAGCCACGTTGCGAAACAGATGATGATTATTCCGATGATTGTTCTGTTCACCCTCTCACCTAAATGATCATGAAAAGGGTCTCGCCGCACGGCACACGAAACGAAAACGAAACGAGTGCATCTGCCCACGAAAGGTGGCAAAATACACTCGTTACTATTTATAGCAAACCGATGAACCTGGCCATTTTCTGCAGGAAGATGCACTCGTTTCGTTTTTCGTTTCGTGTCACGTGCGGCGACGCCCAAAGAGGAGAGCATATATGGTGGAGCTGATGAACCATGCGATTTCTGGATTTTCTGGATTTTCTGGATTTTCTGGATTTTCGAATGGGGATCCTTTTTCCATTTGTTTGTGTGTGTGGGCAAGCCACCCCTGTGATGACTCTTCATCAACTGAAAAGGGAATGGAAGCTTTTGGTATTTTATAATTTTTATTTATTTATTTAATGGAAGCTACTAGGCTACCAGCCGGGCCGCCAGGGTCCCGGGTGGCCAGCCCGTGCAAGGACAAGCGAAGGTCCTAGCCAAAAAAAAAAAAAAAAAAAACCGAAAAAAAAACTATGTTATGCAGAAAAATAAACTGAACAACTTTTGCCTCAGGGTCACATCGAAATTCTTTACCAAATTTAGAATACAAAATGAAATGTGGAAAAATATATATATTTTGGCCCGGCCGGGCAAGTGACCCCGGGCCACTCTGGTAGCCTAGGGAAGCTAGCTTTTTCCTTAATGACAGGGAAATGAGATTATATTTTTGCCACGATCGCAGGAAGAAATCCCGTCCTTTTTATTTTTTTTGAAAGAAAAAGAATTGGACCATTTCTCGATTTGTGTGTGTCATCCTTGCTTAGGGGCCATGCTATAATTAGTCTTCTCTGTATCGTGCCAATTTTAACGTATGTCCCGAAGGACGCTTTTTTTTTTAATAACCTTTACAAATAACCGTATTTTCAATTGATTATATTTTTTTACGAAATTCTGTTCCCCTAAATATGCCGGCAATCTGACAGCAGCAATCTCCCTGGGGCCAATATGCATTGAAGTCCCTTTTTTTAATAAGTCATTGCGAAATTGCCAACATGCCCCCTTCAGGGGGATTCAGAGTTGCCAAAATAACCCTGTCGAGTGAGCTACATGGGAAGAAGATGCACACAGCATATGTCTGAGTACGAAAACGATGATTTTTTTTTTCCTTCTTTTTTTTCTTTTTTCTTTTTCTTTTTTCCCCGAAGCGACCGCATTTTGGTGGTACCTGCAAACTGGGACATTTCGGGGATTTCAGAATTTCGGGGGCGGGGTACGTTTGTAATTGGCTGCTCGACGGCAACAACTAAGGTGATAGCGGGCGCAGGAAAGGAAATGAAGGCCATGGCAGGGTACGTAGGGGAGTGTTAGGCTGTGATCAGGGGCAGATTCTCGCTACGATAGCGTGGTATCCCTAAATATAATGCGCGGTTATTACAGCTGTATTTGGGGTAAGTTTGCGTCCAAATACAGCGATAATGACCATACATTTTCTTCGGGGAAAGTCGCTAGGATATCAAGAAGTGGCACTGTGGGAAAAGTGCAAGCACCTAGCAGTGAAGGGAAACGAGGTTAAGCGGTCTTGATGCTCAAATATGGTGGGTAAGGGGGGATCCTGAGACGTCCCGATCAGCCCATGGCACTCAATGAAAATTCTCCATTTGCCAACCAACCGGTCAGTAAATCACTCAAGCACTCAATCAATCAACTAATCAATCAACTAATCAATCAATCAATCAATCAAGGAAGCAAGCAATCAGTCGATCAATCAGGCAATCAATCAATCAATCATCCAATCAATCAATCACTCGATCAAGCAAGCGACCAGCTAATCCATCAATCATGAAAGCAAATAACAGATCCAGCTAATCAATCAATCAAGAAAGCAAATAACAGATTCAGTGCTCGATCAATCACTCAATCACTCAATCAATCAAGCAAGCAGCTAAGTATATGAATTTGGTACCATAGGTTCTTTTCACTGCAAAAAATGAGAAAAAAAGTAGTCCATAGCAATATTTGACGTCGGTCGCTAACCGACGACAGGCCACCAGTGAATCGTGAAAGCGGTGAACCCGCACCCGTACCCCTACTTACCTACTCACCTATTGACCGACTTACCTAACCTTCCCATAGGCTAACCTGTCCAAACCAACTCGTCACTGAATCAATCAAGCCAATCAGACCTATACTTGATGATCAGTCAGTCAGTCAAATCAATCAGTGCATCAATCAATCAAACAATCAATCAAACAATCAATCAAACAATCAATCAATCAGTCAAACAATCAATCAATCAGTCAAGCACTCTGCCAGCTATGGACTGACTTCCTCGCGTCCAATCAATCAACCTACCCACCTATCGAATGATAACCCGACTGGAGGAATCAGTATTGGTCTTCTGCTTGTATGTGGGCGTAAGGTGGACCAGGTGCTGTGCCCCTCCTTTTCGTCTTGCTCTTTGTTCACGTCAAGTTAAGAGTCGTTCTCGACCACATCTTCGATGGCAGATTTCATTGAGGGTGAAGAAAACAGAGTGGAATCGTTTTCAACCCCCCAAACCCTTGTCGTCCAATCCCTGTGTCTCCCTTGCGTCCATAATGCCCAGTTTGAGGGACTTGACCCCCCCCCTTCCCCTCCCCTCCCCTCCCCTCCTTCCTCCCCCCGGCGAGCTCCCTATTCCCTCAGGATGGCCATTGCCGATTGTAATTGGCAAAGAAAACACAGTGAAAACGTTTGCCACGTACTTCCTCTTCTCCCCCCCCCCCCCGGCCGGGATGGCTATGTATTTGGTGCGACTTGCAGTCCATATACAACTACAATGACTGGGCGTTCTATTCGGGTAAACAAGGTAGGGCATATTCCGACAGGAGCTGTGCAGTAACCATGTTGGGGCCTAATCGAATTCTGTCAGAAGCTGACAGCATCAGAACCTCTGACACATCCGTTGCTATGCGGAAACGTTGTTTGATCGAATTCTGTCAGAAGCGCTGTTGGCAGGATTCTGACGGAATTCTGACACATCATTCCGTCGAAGCAGAGTGGAAACGTTGTTTAATCGAATTCTGTCAGAAGCGCTGCTGGCAGGATTCTGACAGGATTCCGTGGAACTCCGACAGAATCTCTGAAAGATGTCCCTCGCTGAATCTAGACTGAAAGCGGCCCCAAATACAGCTAGAATGATTAATGATTGGGCGCTCTATTCGGGTGAAGACGGTCGCCCATGGTACCATCCAGGGTGGAGGAGGGAATAAACCAACGGGAACTGAAAGGGCAGCAGGACAAAGTGCACCACGGGCGACCGTCCTCGCCCGAATAGAACGCCCGGTCATTTTAGCTGTATTTGGGGCCCCTTTCAGTCTAGATTCAGCAAAAATGACCGATCGGGGGTGTTCTTTTCGGGTGACGACGGTAGTCATTGCTCCCGCGAAAACGGCATCATCAAGAGCGTAGCAAGCAGATCTCCTAGAGAGTCTATGGGCCTCGCTGCGCTACACAACACTCTACATGCATTTGGCCGCTTTCTTGACCACGTGGGCTTCGAGGAGTGCAACATTTTCAATGTATTGGGTCCAGAAACGGTCCAAATGCATGTAGAGTGTTGTGTAGTGGAGAGAGGCCCTGATGTATTTGACCTGTCGACTTCCTTTTGCTCTGTTACGGTGGCTGTACTGATGTATTTCACCTGTTGTGCTTCTGCGGTTTTTTTTTTCTTTTCTTTTCCTGTCGCTATCTACCCACATCTCTAGCATGGCAGAACTCCCCATCTTTGCACCAAAGGGTAACGTCTATGCACTGAAAGGGGAAACCGACTATGTCTGTCCACTCTACTCTCTGCAGAGAGTAGCACCTCGGCTCCTACCCCCCTAGCAAGGCACGACAGGATTTCTGACTTCTTCCGGGACCATCCAGGCGGCCCGTGGCTGGCAGGACTCCGGACTCCTTCCAAGACCTCTGATGCCGTTTGCATGCTCAACTAATTGAGCTAGGCCGCACAAGCGGTTAACAAGGACCCCCACTTTTCAGCCCCAGGTTAACCACCCCAACACTGAAAAGTGCATTTGGGGATAAAATTTTCGAGAAAATAATATATATATTTTGCGGGCCTACTGAATGGATCTGTCTTTTTAGCTGAAAATCCTGAAAATCCTGAAAACCGGAATGTTGGTGAAATTTCATGAAAGTGCACTTTTGTCGCCTCTTGCTGCACGAGTACTTAAAAAACACCGGTGCGTCTCTTGGCTGCTATAGACAGGTGGCGGTTGTAGGTGTCATTTGTTGCACTTCCGCTCTGCTCTGCTCTGCTCTGCTGTTTGGCGATTCTCAAGTGTGACCTAGATTTCATCGGGGGGCATAAGTTGTGTGCTGAGCTGCCTGCGGTTTGAATGTTAGTCCAATTGTAACCGTGGTTGGTTTGCGTCCTGGTGTATGAACCTCTCTCACAGGGCTCTGAAAAAGGAGAAGATGGAAGCGCGAATGGCCATTTTACCTCTAATTCAGGCAGAAGAAGATGTCAGGTGCGTGTCGATGGTTGGGTGGTGTTTCGCAGTGCCATTCGCTGTTGCTACCGTTTTCACCCGAATAAAACACGCCCGGTAATTATAGCTGCATCTGGACTGAAAGTTGTGCCAAATGCAGCTATCATGACCAGGCCTTCTGTCCGGGTGAAGACGGTAGTCCTGGTGGTGTTTTTTTTTCTTTCTTTCTTTCTTTCTTTCTTTCTTTCTTTCTTTCTTTTTTTTTTTTTTTTTTTTTTTTTTTTTTTTTTTTTAGGGCGGCTAGTTGTGTGTGTTGTGCGTCAACAACTCCTGTGCAGTTATGGTGAGTGTGGGAACCTTTCAGGTGCGAAAATCCCTCTCCCCGCCCCTGGACAATAATTCACTGTGGGGTCGGCGGCAATGTAGGCTTTATGTCCGTTGCTTTTGGAATCAGGGATGGGGCTAGGGGGCAATGTTGGCTTGATGTCTCCACTTGTTGTTGCTTTTTTTTTTTTTTTTTTTTTTTTTNTTTTTTTTTTTTTTTTTTTTTTTTTTTTTCGGTGACCAGTTGTATGCATTGTGTATTCAACTGTATTGACTAAATTCTGTGCAGTTATGTTGAGTGTGCAGCCTTCGAGGTGCGGAAAGCTTGCTCCTTGCTCCTTCCGCGCTCGATGTTTCAAAGTAGGCCGTGCCTCCCATCTCAACATATCTATGCCGTCTTTACACCCTCTACGCTCCCCCCCAGCTGCTTCCGATCGCCAGGCAGGGGCATTAGTGATGTCTACCTATCTCTTGTCCTCCCATAAGTATCAGGCAGGCAGTTGGAAGACTATTCGGCGTCGCTGTGCGCAACCTTCATTGTGCATGTCCTTCGGGGGATCGGTGAAAATTGAAACGATATGGAGAAGATTAGCATGGCCTCTGTGCAAAGGATGACAGACATAAATCGAGAAATTGTCCAATTTGTTTTTGAAAAATAGCCCTTCATTATGAAGGAACGAACGAATTGTTGCAAGTACGCTCCCGACAGTACCAGAGCATGCTTTGCTGAGTCCAGTACATGCTGACTGACTGTCGCTTTTTTTTTTATTGTTTCGGTTTTCTTTTCTGTCCGTTTATTTTTATAATAATAGGAATGACATCTCTACTGTCTGTGCAACTTGCTTCGTTAACATGAGTGATTGGTCCTGGAGTGCATGTATACCCTACTACTGTCTTCACCCGAACAGAATGCCTGGCTAATTCTCGCCGTATCTGAACGGAAAGTTGTGCCAAATAGAGCTATGATGACCAGGCATTCTATTCGGGTGAAAACGGTAGCATCCAGCCTGCTTTTTCTGTGTGGACCGGTCTTTTTGTTTTGGGTCTTCTTTTTGTGGCTATGAACACTTTGTCTGCTCTCTGGCTCACCCTGTCGCGCTTGCTATCTTCTACATTGTGGCCTGCTTCATCTCCTCCCACACCACCTGTGCTGGATCTGCATGCCTGTCCTTTGGGTAATCGAGGCCGACAACTCGCCACACTGACAGTCGTCCACGGTGATGGTTCACAACTTGGACGCCCGTAGGCTGGGTCACCTGGCTGGGTGCGCGGCCGCCTGGTCGGGTCATACCCGACCCAGATCCTGGGCACCCCCAACAGAAAATAAGTAAACGAAAACGAATTGAAACAATCTGCAAATAGCATGTTGGGGGGGAATATACAAAACAAAGTACTGCTGGCCGAGCGTCACATTGAAATTCCTTTCCTTGTTAAATCACCGGTATTTCCGGGCCTCTTTCCCCCGAGGCTCGGAACGCTCTTATGCGTTGAAAATTGAAATCAAATGGAACGGCGCGAACCTGCTTTGGCTGGCGGCACCAGTTATTTTGCTCTGGCAGGCCGACCCGCAAAACTTGCAGCGCGTTAACGGCCACATTGGAGTAAAATGGGTGGGCGAAGCGAAGTGCTGGTGTTTAACTTCACAAGGTAAAAAAAGAGAAAAACCCTTTTGAAGTAGGAAGCCCTTTTTCGACCCCATTTATATCCCAACTTCCCCAGGTGAGCCATGACCAAATCCAAAGGTAAGTCTGGATTCTGCCTGCTGTGGCGAAGCACAGAGCTGGCCTGAGGTCTGACCTTTTTTTTTTTGGGTTTGTTTTTAGGATTTCTTGTCCCTATTTTGGTTGGCCTGCCTGGGCTAACCGGGCAGGTGGAGCCTGGCCTCCCCCCAGGCCCGGCTGTCCATCCAGGCAACCCAGGTAACATATAGGTGATAGGTGACAGTGATGGTTCATAAGAATGCAACCTGTAGAACCTACTGCGATATTCCATGACGGACTCGACGGGTTTCTGGACTCGATCTTTAATCATAAAGAAGGCTTGTTCGGGGTGTATATAGTCAAATCGGTGCAAAAAGTACCTCGCGAAGGTCGGGATGTCCACCCAGGCGTAGGTGCTAAACCAATGGTGCGCATCCCCTCCCAATCGAGCGGGGATATTGATCCTGGCTTCATCATTGTCATATTGCTGTGCACACAACGTAGCTAACCATGCCCCAGCCAAGTGATGGGTAGGATCAAATAGATACAAATCGGGCGGGGCTGGAGGTGCTCGGACTCAGATAGGTGGCGTGGGAATAGGTGCCCTGCCTTGCTGTACATTAGCGTTTTGTGCTTGTTTGGCGTTCATGTTGGCGACCTGTCGACCGGCTGACCTACTCCGAGTCACTATCGGATCGCGTCTTGGCGTGTTCCTCTGCCTAGGTCATCCTCGATTTAGGCTCGCCAGATCGGTCTACTTAGGGGGCCTACCCGCTTGGCAATCCTTGAGCTTGCCACGTGTCGGCTCCGATACCAACCTCACGCCCAGCGCGACTTCCTGATCGGAGTGATGATGGGCCTGGAAGTGCGAAAAGGGGTGTGCCAAGGATTTTTGGAAAAGTGGGGGTGGAGTTCCAGGTCAGAACTGAGATCTCCTGTGCCAAGTTTCAGGGATATGAACGTAAGTGGGTAGGCGAAGGACGAGGGTTTTGTTTAGGCCTCATGGAACGGAGCGGTCACCTCCATTGGTCCCGTCGTCTGGGATGGATTTGTATTCTGTGTACCGTTGGGATGCGATGGCTGTCCCGTTGGTACAACACTCGTCGTCGGCGGGTTTCGCAGATCTCAGAATCGGACGCGTTCGCTCTCAGCCGAAGGCTGTGCTTCCGTTGTTTAGCTTCCGAGCGGGTTCGCCGGATGAATTCCGATGCGCGGCAGGCGTGGTCTTGCAGGCACTCAGAACACTGGGGTTGTGGCCAGTAGGGGGCGAGTGCTCGCCAAGGGGCGATGGTGAAGCAGTGGAAGGGCAATAGACGGTGATAGGGAGGGAACTCTGTTTCCAGGATAACAATGCCGAGTTCAGTGACACGTGTATGGGCTGGGGCAGTCGGGGAAATGGGGAATATGTTCTAAGGCCCGCCCAATATCCCACTCGCAGATGTGCTCGGTTCCTGTATGGTACGGAAATTGTGGGAGCTCAGTCCTCGATCGTGCAAAAAGGCATGTGTGTTCCCAATATTCTCGGAACTCACGATCCCTCAGGCACTCATGGTCAGTGATCAGGAAGGGAATTTTGACATTCATACTGCGGGGTGGGGTAGGAATCCATACATTCGAAGTGCTCGGCCGACAATTGGATCGGGGGCAGATCCTGTAGACACGCGTGTACGCAATGGCCTCCTGCGGCCGGGCGTACACGTGCGTGCACACGATATTCCTTCAATCAAGCTGGGAATTTTCACAACTTCCGGCACATGTGCATCGGCCCGTTAGATCGCCCAGAGGTGTCGCTGGTGGGCTCAGTGTGAAACAGACATCTAATCAACCGGCATGCTCATCCATATTACAGAAAAGAAAAAGAAGGGACGAGGAAACAACAAACACCCCGTGCATCAAAACATCCAGTTACTCACCGACCGGAGAACATACAAGGATCGAGTGTGGGCAATCAATCAATGAAGTTGGCAATCCAGCAGGAGGAGGAAGGGGCAGGAATAGGGACAGTCTTAATCATCCATCAATTTGCGAACGAAAGAAGGATCCGAGATAACCATGAACAAAAAGATGGCTTGCGCCATGCATCAAAATTACACAGAAGAGTCGAAGAAAAGCACCATTCCAACACCTCCCACGTTCTCTCTCTCTCTCTCTCTCTCTCTCTCTCTCTCTACACCATCCTGATGCGGGCAGTCCGTCGCCTCACACCTACTGCTTACACAGAGTTGTCACCCCGCTTAGTCTGAACATGCAAGCCAGGTTCGCCCGTGTGCCACAGTCCTTCGCAGCCAGTTAACCCCGCATACCCAGCACCAGCCCGTCGGATCGCCCAACTCCTTACTGACCGTCCTTCTCCTGCCTGTTAGCCGTTCCTCTTGACCGCTTTACTCCAAAGTTGATTAGAGAGCGAGTTAATCGCGCCTGCAAAATTTATAGCATGAGTGTCCGCGTGAGATACCTGGGATTGTGCCTGAGTGGGAGGGAAGGAGAAGGAAGGAAGTGCCGACGACTGCATGGCCGGGCCGCGGCATGGGGGACGTAGCCACTCTCCACGCATCGATCCAGTCATGCATCGTTCAGGCCAATAAGATCGAGGAAAATATGCGCGCGCAGGGGTGCGACGAAGATATCAAGAAGGAGAAGATTACAGTTATATTTGCGCTCTGCCAAGAAGAGAAGTACAGTTACACTTGAGATTAAGGCACGGAGAAGCCAGAGCACAGACCCTGGCGCGGCAGGGCGCGCGCAAGCAAGAAGCACCGTGCAGTTGCAGGCAAAATTACGATGCACCCAAATTCCTAGCCTAATTCAAGTCTTAATTGCAAAAAGAAATTCGATAAAAGAAATTCTGAGAACCCGCATGGGCTCGACATCAGCTGAAAATTCAAAAGAATTCCCGTGCGCGACGATCGAGCCAAAATACCCCAGACTCACAGCAGAACAAGAAAGAAGCTATGGCAACAGTTATTTTCCGTGCTCGCTAAGGTGCGATCAACTACCAACCGTCGTGGGGCCATCCCTTTTTCCAAAAGACGAGGGCATTCGTGTAATCGGGCGGGGCCCTCTCAATCAACCCCCGAAGTATCGTCGCACAGAAAATCGCACGTCTACGGAAAACAGATCGTCACAGGGCAACCTAAAAAAAAAACAAAAAAGGAAGTAGGATTAGGGGCATGCTGGCCACCTGGATTCCTTTGTTTCTCTTGTTGGGGGACCAGATGAATGTACGACAACATCAGACCAATGCTCTCTCTCTCTCACACACACACACACACACACACACACACACACACACACCCACACACATGGATTGTATCACTGACATGCCAGAGGAAAGAATGTTGAATGTATTGCTGCAAAATCAAATTCATCTCCAATTTTCCTTTTTCTTCAATTTGACAGGTACGCGAAGGCCCGGCAGAAGGCGCTTGCTGAAGAAGAAAAGATAATGCAGAATGTGCCTGGTTGGAAGGTGGGAGAGAGTGTATACAATTCAGGGAGATGGGCTCCCCCTGCGACTGGGAGGCTGATCCTGGGGACGAACTAGAGTAGCGGCACTGAAGGGGGATGGCTTGCCCTTGGCGATCGAAGGCAAGGTGAGTCATTTCTGCTTGGAGTGAGTATAATGCTTTTACATGTACAGGGGACATATCTATGGTTGTTCTTTGGAATTTTTACGATGGATGATGATGCCGGAAAGATTGCGAGCAGGTTATCCTTCAATGCTGGCTCTTGGTTATGGGCTCACGGACAGCATGCTTGGAAGATCTACTGCATGGGCTGCATGGGTGGCCGCCTTATTTCCCACGGAGTCGAGAGATGCACGGCAACAAATCTCAAGAATGCGAGTCCTCCCCCCCTTGTCGAACCGATGACAGCATGCGATGATGATCTATTGCATTGGCTGCACGGGTGGCCGTCTTATTTCCCACGGAGGCGAGAGATACACAAAGAAAGATCTCAAGAATGCGAGTCCTCCCCCCCTTGTCGAACCGATGACAGCATGCGATGATGATCTATTGCATTGGCTGCACGGGTGGCCGTCTTATTTCCCACGGAGGCGAGAGATACACAAAGAAAGATCTCAAGAATGCGAGTCCTACCCCCCTTGTCGAACGAGGCAAGCTCTGTAACTGCTTGATGTGAACMGGCCTGGATCATGTTGAGCAGGGTTGATGGCGTGCAGATCTGCTGCAGCTTCGGGACAGGGTTTGTCATCCTGGCTTCGGGGTTGTGTGGAAGTTAGTGGAACCGTTGGTCCCAGAAAATGGGGCTATGTTTGAGGGTGAGAGTTCAAGCCGCGTAGTTGCATGTCGTTGTCAAGTGTTCTTCGCGGACGTGGTGGTCCCGGCCTCTGCGGTGACTGCGGTGCCCGTTTTGCCGCCTTCCAGATGAGCGGGGACTGCATTTGTTCGTGTTCTTCGGTGTGGATTGGGAGGCTTGTGTTTGCAACATCGATTAACGCAATTAACATTTTGTTCTGGTGAGCATGGTGTGAAACACGTAGGATTGGTATCTTCCCTCCGATGCGATGAACCTGCATATGGGTAAGGATTCTAAGGAGCAGTTGCTCTGGCTTTTCTCTGGAATGAGGATCGTCGTCTTGACTGATTGTGTGTGCTCCTTCAGCACAGGCACGTTGGACTCCTCTGCCGCTCGTCAGCGGGAAGGACTAGATGGGAGTTGTCTCTGAAGTCGGTGGTGGTCGGAGTTGCTGATTCATTGTGAGCTCTCCTTTTCGGCAAAGAGGTGTATGCTTGGGCAGTGCCATGCCGTGCCAGGTGAGGATTAGGGGAGAGAGAGAGAGAGAGAGAGAGAGAGAGAGAGAGAGAGAGAGAGAGAGAGAGAGAGAGAGAGAGAGAGAGAGAGAGAGATGTTAGCCTGCACAGTGGTGAACCGTAATGCTACTTCACAAAGAAGACAGGAAAATGAGATAGGTGGGATGCCACACACAATGTCCGCATCCTGTGAAATCTGTTGTGTTTCCTGTTCTGTAATGTCAGCAATCAGTCATGTTGTCCGCATGTCAGTTTGGGTAACTGAGTTTCCACTCTTTGAATTCAAAGTTTGAACTCTCAGAAGTTTTACAATCGTATATATAGATACTAGATAGCGATATGTACTTTTTGCCTTTTTGAATGTGATGATGGCTGGACTTGTGTGGACGTAATCTTTAAGCGTTTGACTGGTGGTATTTCTGTAGTGAGCCTCCTTCCTTTTCGTCGTCTGCTGTCAGGTGTTCGTTGTCTTGAGTGCCTCATTCACTTCTGGCTGGTTGCACTCCTTCCACATCGTTGAAAGCGTCTGTGCAGTCGTTTCTTTGCCAAGTGCCGAAGTTGGTGGGCCGTTCTCTCTTTCTTTTGCGTCGTGCCTCATGTTTACGTGTAACGGTTTTACTTCTTTTTCCACTTCGGAGGGAGGGTATGTGTGTGGAAATGTACCACAATCCTCCCTCTTTGAGCAGTAATGTTCTCTTCGGAAGTTCAAATTATATTCAGACATCATTTTTGTCTTCCTTAGAGTGTCTCCACCAAACACAATCCAGCATTCTGTTTGCACTCACTCAGAAGTAAAAGGGAACACACTCAGAAGTAAAAGGGAACAAGATAGGGTCTGGCTTCTCACAACTGCGCACCAACAGTGATGGTCTGATCAATTTGGAATTTTGGAGGGTCTTTTTCTCCCCGTAGGCGTTTAATTATTATCTGTATCTGTATGACGTGCGCATTCCGTCGCAGCGTTGCCAATTGGCTGTGTCCGGGAACCTGTTACTTGGTTCTCCCCTAACCTTGCAAATCGTATGCGTAAGGTAGGGCATATGGTAGGCATACGACGATCTGCGTCTCCGTGGCGTGACGGTGCACGGGTGTCTGCTGCACAACAATCTGGTATGGTCCGAAGGTCTTTGCGTGGGCAGGAACTCGAAACCGCCAGTACACGGTCCCAACCTTGCAGAAAATCGCCACCTACTCTGAAAGTTTTGCGCCTCGGGCTTACCGGACCACTGAAAGTTTTGCGCCTCGGGCTTACCGGACCACAATGTCTGGCGGCAGCGGCCAAAAAATAAAAACAGGTGTGCTGCTGACGGTTCGGCAAAAGCTTGCCGCGCAGTGGAGCGCCTGTACTGGTGGTGATTTAATGCTGTTGCCAGTCTGTCGGAAATTGGAACCCCTTGTGTGAGGGTGGTAAGGGAAAAAAAAAARAAAAAAAAAAAAAAGAGAAAAAAAGAAAAACAAAGAAAAAAAAAAGAAAAAAAAAGGGTGGTGTTGTACGAGCACTGGTTGATTTGCATCCCAGCCGGGCCGCCGGGTCACCTTGTTTGCCCAGGCGGTCTGGGCGAGCAAGTAACAAAGCAAGGCTCCAGCGAAAACTGAAAACCCGAGAAATCCAAAGGAAACTATGATGTTATGTTTGCTTAAGCCACCACCACCTCCGAGCCTGTTTTTGCCGACCCTGAATTTCACTGCGCACCGAGTTTTGCTGGGCCTGGGTCCCATTGTATTTTCTTTTCTGGTACTCGTTGGAAATCGGAAAAATAACAACAAAAAACAAAACAACGAAAGAGAAGGAGAAAAGCAACGACGTTAGGGACGTGAAAGCAGCTGTATACAGAACATCGGGTACATGTGAGAGTATGCTCTGCCAAAGGACATTACTGCCCTCAGAAAAACACGGCAATAGCGAAAAAAAAGGTCAAAGGGTGTTACTGCCCTCAGCAAAACACGGCTGTAGGGAAAAGAAAAAAAAAAAGCAAAAACGACAACAACTCTTTGGACGTAGAAGCAGCTGGATACAGAATCCTCAGTACACGTGCACCGTTGGTTGCAAGTGTCAGCCGTCTGGGGAAAGCGCCCGGCCTCGTTGGGAGGGCAGTGGGGCACTAAGACTAAATTAGAAGAAAAAAATAAAAAAACCCAAAAAAAACAAAAAACGAAACTATTGACCGTTCTGGGCAGATGCATTCGTGGAGGCAATGCCGTGAGCACAACTCCTTCGTCGCTTTCCCCGACGTCCTTCATTTCAACCCTGCAGTTACTTCTTTTTTTTTTTTCCCCTCCAGTCGGGCCCATAAGGGCCTGATAAGGCCCAAATTTTTTCTTTTTGCCAACCCTTGCCCGGACCCCTGAACTTTGCGGTTGACGTCATTTCCCAAATGGGACTACAGCTTGGAAAGGTAGTGGCGGTTTACGGCTCATATCCAACTTCTTAAGTTCTTACCAAATTTAAAAGGGGAAAAAAAGAGTTCTTTTTTTTTTTTGGCGCAGCTGGGCAAGTGCTTGTGGGCCACTCTGGTAACCTAGGTGCCGAGTGAGTTGGATTTTTTATTTGCGTATCGGAGTTTATTGTGCCTCCTAATGAGTGGCATTATGAGCCATCCTCAGTGAGTCGAGGGGTTGTATGGGGGTATTGGGGGTGGGTATGGGGGTGTTGGCGGTGTTATTGGGGGTTATCGACTACCAGAATATATTTTGCGGGGTGCCGCCGACCGCCGACCGGTAGGTGCCGACCAGCCGACCGGTCCGTCGGTCGACAGCCGACTAGTCAAGGGCCATTGACCGTCGGGGTCTGCAGCATTGTTCTATACATTCATTATCAGGGTGAGTTGCGTTCGGCGGAAGACGGTAGTAGTAGACAATGGTTGTCAATGTTGAAGGTAGTCTGTTACTAGAGACAAAAAAAAAAAAAAAAACCCTATGAATGTGAAAAACTGTGTTCTGGTGGTGGTCGATTCCTTCCCTCTGTGCTATCTGTCACTTCACCATGGCCGCTTTCTCGATCTGCCCCAGATCGAAGAGCCGAGGCTTTGTTAGCAAATGTAAAGCGGACCAATTGAATGTCAAGGAGAACCACAAGTGGGAGGACAATTCTGAAACGGGGGGGGGGGGGGGGGGGGGGGGGAGAGAAGGAGAGAGAGAGAGTGAGAGAGAGAGAGAGATGTCACCCCAGTGCATCCTGCCCGCCGCACCAGATTGCACGGCGCGTTTCTGTAAAATGGCTGGGAAACGTAGTGATGGTTAAAAGATACGAAAAAGCATAGGTTGTTGCCGGGTCCTCACTAGCTGTGTGCTGACCGTGGGCTCGTTCGACAGGGGGCAGTGCAAAAAGTTTCGAGTGCGCCCCGACTCCGGCGAGTTTTTGCGCTCGCAGTTGTCGATGATCAACTGTGAAAAAATCAGGAACAGAGGTTCAGTGCTGATGTGCTCAGAAAAAGAAGCATTTAGAAAAAATCAAAGAATGAAATTGGGGAATTTGGGGCTAATGGCAAAAACAATTTTTGGCAGTGAATGTAACATATTTTTGTCCCTGCTTAACCTGGTACGCCCAAAGCTTCTTTGCCTCGGTGCTTCTGGGTAGGAGAAATCGGTGGGTTCCCGGGAATCAGGACTCTGCGGCCCAGGGAAATCAAGCAAGTGTGAAGTCGCAAACTTATATTTGTGAACATTTTGGAGGCCCGGGGCTGCCGGGGCCTGGGTCCCACCTACCAACGTTAAGCTGGCCAGCAGTGTGTTTCCGAAAGCTTCGGAGACTCAGAGATAAGTGGGGCCTGGGTCCCACCTACCAACGTTGAGCTGGCCAGCGTCGGGTGTCGAAGCATATGCAGCAGGAGTTAACGGTTAGTCAGTGGAGATGTGGTTGTGATTGGTCAGACAGGAAATATGTTGACATCTATAAAAGAAAAGAAATCATTTCTGTCTTTATTGTTCCTCTTCTTCCTGAAAATCTTCGGAGAAAAAAATAATAATAGAAAAAGATCTTTGGAAAACGGGCTTGTCGTTTGACTAACTACCTCCCGAGTGGCAAGGCATTGTTGTCTCGTCCGTGGAAAGACGGTCTGACTACTGTCGGTGTCAGAATGCCGATGGGGCGGCTGGTGTTCCTTTTGGGCCAAGGATGCACCCTTCACCGAACTCGTGTCTGCGTTCACTTAACAGAATAGTGAGGTGGAGTGTACAGTGCGAGGTAAGGTGGGTGTTTCATTCAGTCGGTCTCTGAGATACGGGATACTATCAATTTTATTTTTGAAAAAGACTCTCAAAAGATTTTATACTCCTTTAGAGCCATTTGTTTTGATTTTTTTCATTATTTGTCATGTTCATTTTCACACCCAAAAGCGTGTCGCACCGTTGAATTAGAACAACTCAATGGCAAAGGTGGGATCCAGCCCGGACAGAAATGGCTGGCGCCACGAGCCAGAAGTAAAGTAATCGTGCATGCGCCAGTTCATTTTGGACTTGGCATGCAGCACAATTTCAGGACGAAAAAAAAACAGCCTCGGAGTTAGTGGTGGTTTAAACCAACAGTACTTCCTAAAGTCGTGCCCGTTAACAAGCCAGGATTTTAGGAAATGTCCGGGTCACTATAGGAGCCCCCAAATTCATCTGAACACGGTTTATTCACCACGCTATGAAACAGGGCCGGGACCGGTTGGGGCCGGTCTCAACCAGCCCCGACCTTGTCTTGTAGTTTGGTGAGTGAATTCCCGTGGTGAGTGGTGGAGCAAGACGGCGTTTTGGTGTGAAAAGTCCCATGGTGGGACTTGTCACACCTTGGGAAAGTCGAGTTTGGTGAGTGGTGGAGCGAGACGGCGTTTTGGTGTGAAAAGTCCCACCATGGTGGTGAGTACCCACCGTCTCGATCCACCACTCACCACTCACCGTGGGGAGTACTCACAGCAGGAAAATCGAGTTTGGTGAGTGGTGACGCGAGGCCCAAAAGCTTCAAGGGCCAGGTCCCACCTGAATCGTTATGCCACCTCAACGGTGGGTTGTCAATCATGTGTGGCATGTGGGACAGAGCCCTGCTGTAGATATGCCTAAAAAATGAAAATCCAAAATCGATAGATGGATAAGATTTACATCCGGAATGTAATAAATTTGGTTTACAAAAATCGTTTTCCAGATGTTTTTGTTTTTTTCTAAACTCGATTTCCGCCATGTTTTGGTGTTTTGGCGGGAAACGACTTTCTCCGATGAGGTTTCAGGCCTGCTTTACAAAACCTCAATGTAGAAAGCCATATTTCTGTGTTTTCTAAAAACTCAGACGAGATAATTGCGCTGCGCGAGCCATCAATGTCTCCTCAATGGGAGGACAGTCTGACAGGGTGTGTTCGCCTCCCCGACATCAAACTGGTTTCTTTGTTTGGGCAGTGGATGCACTCTGCCACACATGTTGTCCAAATTCGTGTCAGACAAGGTGAAGTCGTTCCCCTTACCACGGAGAGTTCCCCTCAGATTGTGCCAGATATATTCCGTTTCTCCACATTATGTTTAAAAAATAGGGGCAATTTTGGCAAAAGCTTTTATGCTTTAGCAGCATTTCTTTTCTTTTTTCAATCATTTGTTTTGACCTTCTTGTTCCCTTCAAATGTGTCGTACGGTTGA